AGGACGTCCTTCTTCACCCAAAGAGTGATTAACACTTGGAATTCACTGCCACAGGAAGTGGTGGGTGCTACAAGCATGGACGGCTTCAAAAGGGAATTAGATAAGCATATGGAGCAGAGGTCCATCAGTGGCTATTAGCCACAAGGTATAGATTGGGACTCTGGGGCAAGTGATGCTCTGTCATCTTGGTGCTTTGTGGGGTCAACAGTGGGATGGCTTCTAATGTCCTGGCCCCACTGGTGGACCTCCTGATGGCACTGGTATTTCTGGCCACTGTGTGATACAGAGTGTTGGACTGGATGGGCCTTGGCCTGATCCAACATTGGCATCTCTTATGTTCTTATGTTCTTATGTGGACTCTCAGATACAATCAGGAATCTTTCTTGATGGAACTTTCCAGAAGATGTTAATGTCTGCTCCTAATTCCCCCTCCCATCTGGTTACACAACTAAGCACAGGTTCTCATGTTTAACCAATTACCATATTCTCGTGTCTGGCCTTAAAAGGGATAAGGACGATTTCTGCAGGATGGCCCAAATCATGGACAAATGCCCGCCGGACGCAAATATCAATCTCATTCCTTAACATCTGTGGCAGAACATTTTATTTTCCCATCATGCTTTATTGCTGACCTGAACTTTCCATTCTTCAGCAACAACAAAGCCCTTTTTAAAGGTGGTGAAATCCCTGAACTATCTGCAAATATTGCATCCAGACATCTTGGTGTCATCCAAACTGTTGCGTAGGCCTTGTGTCAGAAACCCAAGCCTGAGTCCCTCCTGGTTATTGCCCCTTGTCCCTTCAACAATACCCTGTGGGTCCTCGAGGTCAAATGCATGCAAATGTCTGGCCTTAAAAGGGATAAGGACGATGTCTGCAGGATGGCCCAAATCATGGACAAATACCCGCCGGACTAGGCCTGCTAATAATCATGTTAACCCTTGAGGAAAATAAGGGAAATGCCCTTTCTAGAAGCTGAAATCCATGGTGATACCATGGTTGAAGCTCACTGCAACTAGGCAAAGCATCTACATTTACATTTGTATGAGGCAAGGTAGATTAATGGTACTTTAGCAGCATGAATACATTTTCTATCTAATACATTGAATACCTGGTATTTGATGGGATATCTTATGCAGCCTAGAAATTCAAGCAGTAGCAAAAAAGCATAAAAATTTTACTATGTAGTACAGCTTAGCAACAGAGAAAATAAAGACGCTAACTGTTCTAATACATTGAATACATAGTATTAGATGGCATATCTTCTTGCGACATAGAAGTCCAAGCAGTAGTATAAAAGTCTATACCCTTTTTGCCCTCTGGCACCAGGTGGACTCTCAGATACAATCAGGAATCTTTCTTGATGGAACTTGCCAGAAGATGTTAATGTCTGCTCCTAATTCCCCCTCCCATCTGGTTACACAACTAAGCACAGGTTCTCATGTTTAACCAATTACCATATTCTCGTGTCTGGCCTTAAAAGGGATAAGGACGATTTCTGCAGGATGGCCCAAATCATGGACAAATGCCCGCCGGACTAGGCCTGCTAATAATCATGTTAACCCTTGAGGAAAATAAGGGAAATGCCCTTTCTAGAAGCTGAAATCCATGGTGATACCATGGTTGAAGCTCACTGCAACTAGGCAAAGCATCTACATTTACATTTGTATGAGGCAAGGTAGATTAATGGTACTTTAGCAGCATGAATACATTATACATTTTGAAGCAGGAACTACTGAAATAACCTCCTTTCGAGATTTACTTACTCCCCATATGTGATGTATTGTCTGCTACCACATTCTGGCTACCTTTAATGTGAGCAATCTCAAAGCTGAAATCTTGCAGGCCAACCTCAACACTCAAGCACTGTTTCCATTCATTCTGTGGACGAAAGACAAGGGGTTATGATCAGTTTCCAAGAAAAACTTGACACCACACAGATAAGGTTTCAGCTTGTTTAGGGCCGATACAATCTCCAGACATTCTTTCTCTACTGTTGCATAAGCCTGCTCCCATGGCAGCAATCTCCTGCTCAAATAAACAATAGGGTGAAGTTCACAATCCTACTATCTTTGCAACAAAATGGCCCTGAGGCCCTGGAAGCAGGATCGGTTTGGACCACAAAGGGTTTGCCGTAATCAGTTGGAACCAAGATAGGCGCTTGAGACAGTCTCTGTTTCAAAGTCTTAAAGGCATGTCGACACTCTGGTGTCCAGATGACACTTGTGGGCACCTTCTTTTTGCACAAATCCGACAGAGGTGAGGCCAGCTGACTAACATGGCCAACGAAATGATGACAAAACCCTGTGAGGCCTAGAAAAGCTTGCACATCTTGGTAACAGGCCTGGGCCAATCCATGCTATCGACTGTCTTAGCTTCATGAGGCCTGATGGTATTCAATCCAATCAGGTGACCTAAATAAACAATGCAGGTACATCCAAAC